TTCACTTCATTCTTCCAACTGTTCCAGATGTCCTGAAGCTCTTGCACGTCGTTCTGCTTTAGGCTGATAGAGGCGTAGCTAACCAGCTCTGACACATAACTTCCTTGAAGACTGTCTCCCTTTTCCTTCTGAGTCTTCTCGGACCATAGTCGTACCTCGGGGTTTTTAATCTCTTGTATTACAACACCTTTATCCATTAATTCAGATTATTTTGTGTGTAATGAACGCCTTTTTAGGGATCAATGTCATCTTGTTATGATACAAATGCTAAAAAAACAAACACAAAGGCAAAAGGTTAGTAAAAATAAAAATAAATAAATAAATGAAAAGAAATGGCAAGAGAAAAAGCATAGGGACAAAAAACATGATTGAGAAAACAAAGTCCTAGGTTTTGGAATGTGGTTTTGGGGTAGGCTCTATTTCTTCAAAGTCTCCCGGTTTAGGTTCTAAAACGGTACCCGAGCTCTCCTTGCTGGTGCCCCCTTGGGCTTACCAGACCCTTAGTCCTAAACCCATCACAGGCTTGTGTGGACTAAGTTAAACTCGAGGGGACACATTCCCTTATGTCTATGCGGAGAATAAATTCACACGAAGACATAAGGTATATGAATCCCGAAGGCTACTTGTTGGGCATATGCGGTGAATAAATTCATACGAATGCGTCGCTTTCACCCCTATTTAAAATAGGGTTTGGAGCTCAGGTATAGAGCCTTAAGTGAAAAAAAGGTTTGAAGGCTGAAATCATGAGAAAACGGTTTAGTACAACTATTTACTCGAAAATATAATCAAAAGTAAGTAAAAGGGGATCGAAATATTACCTAAAAATTTAAACTTACCCTTTTCGTTAAAAAGACAACTGGAAATTACCTTAGTCTGACTCACTTACATTTGTCCCCAGCGGAGTCGCCAAGCTGTCGGAACCGTCTTTCGGTTGGGCCCCGGAATTGGGCTTTGACTTAAAACATGTGGATTGGAGTCGCCACCGGTCATTTATTTTAAAACAAATGGGTTGATCGGATACCTTATTTCTTACCTGATCTGCGTCTTACCAGAAACATGTCGGATTCAGGAGTCGGTTACAGTCAAGGAAGGGTTAGCACCCTTGAACTGCCCTTTCGGTACTATATAATTTCCAGTTGTCTTAATTAAGAAAATTGTAAGTTTAAATTTAAAGGTAAAATAACGATCCAAAAACTTACCACTAATTGATTTAAAAGTGAGCCCTTTAAGAGTCAAAAGATGTATTAGAAAAGGTGATGGAAATAAATTAAATTAAAAATAAAGAAAATGAAGAACAAAATAAAAATAAATGATACACGATAAATAACATAATCAACATGGAGACATAGAACATGAAGGAAGTAAAATAAAGACAAGTATGAAAACATATGATAAAGTAGAAAATAAACAAATAAAGAAATAAGAAAGATAAGGTACCATAAAACGGAAAAATAAATAAATAAATAAATAAATAAATGAGGAAAGCAAAATAAAAATAAAATAAAAGAATGATAAGAATTAAATAAAATATACATATATATATATATATATATATATATATATATATTCGAATGTTGAAATAAAAAAAATGTAAAATAATAGCGTATACTAAATAAAGTCAAATAATAAAATTAATGAAAACATATAATAATAATACTATATGTATGTATAATAGCTAAATACGAGAGAGAAGAAAATTTTTAATAATAATAGACAAACAAAATAATGAAAATAAATAAAATAATAATAAAAAGTAGAGGAAAAAAATAAAAAGAGAATATGTGAAATATGAAATATACATATATGTAATAACGTATAAATAAAATATATATAAAATAAAATAAATAGTAAAAAATATATGTATATATATATACAAGAAGTAATAATAATAACGGAGGGGTTAAATTGAAAGGAAATCAAAACAGAAGGTCAAATTCGCAAGCAAATGGGGGTTTAAAATCGAGTTTTAGGGATCAAATTAGATGTTTTTATAACGGATGGGACCAAAAATGGGATTTTCCCAATTTTGCGTGAAAACACGCAGATCTGATGTGCAACGGGTCGGGTCAGTTGGCTCCACGGGTCGCGTATTTAAGCAAAAAAGTGTTTTAAAATTTTCATTTCTCTCCTTTGAGACCGAGAGCTCCCCCCGTTTCAGACATTTCCTCTCAGTGTTCTTCAGAAACGAAGAACACCAACCCTTATTTCCAAAAAAAGGCCATTGGCCGCCCCCCTCGCCACCTCATCGCCACCGTTCATCGGCGGCAAAAACAAAAAAGTTTCCTTTTTTCCGAAAGATGTTCACCCCCTTATTTCGAAAATAGAGTTTGTTTCTTAGAAAAATCGGCCTCGGAGGTTAGATCTATGAAAATAGATCTCGAATGCGCCTCGGTTCATCGGCCAGAAATCATTTTATTTGATGTTTTTCGAACCGAAAACAAAGAGAAGGAAGTACAAAGTTGACATGCAAGCCTGAAAATCGCACAAAGGTGAGTTCCTTACCTTTAACTTATTCTTTGAATTTTTGCAGAGGAAAGAAAATTTCGAATGCTCTGAGTATTTGGATGTGATTTGCTAGTAACTTTGCTTGTATTCAGTATGAAAATCCCCCCCCTTACAAATGGGTTCGATTACATTTATTTATAGCTTCGATTTGTGCTATTTTTGGACCTATTTGAATCCTAATAGGACTATAATATTTGCTTGTTGACTGTGCGAGATCCTTGCGTGTTGTTGGTGGTTGTCGTGAAATCCGGTGACAGTCGTGTGCGTGGCCAGAGGCGTGAGGCGTGGGGAGTTTGACTGGGACATGCGATGTCAAAAACGGCGCTGGAACGAGCTAGGTCTGGAACAAGATGAAACCCTAGATGGGTCTGCTGTGGACCGTTGGATCTCACCTAGATCCAACGGTCATTGAGCGGCGGCTGGAAGCATAAGATAGGGTGAAACCCTAATTCTCTACGCGGGCTACTGTGCTGGGCCACTGTTGGATCAAAGCGTTTGGTTACAGCTCATTGGGCCTGTATCATGTAAACTCAAATAAATAAATGTGGTATATTGTAATAATATGATATGTATGTCATGTGATATACGTATATATTATAAACAATAACTCATAAATGTAAATGCCATGTGTATTATAATATTATAATATCATATACACATTATAATTTAATTTATGTGGTCGAAATTGAGTGTCTTCAATTTTATCACAATTTAAGTGTTAAAAATTTAAGGGGCATTACGAACAAATATATATGAGAATTAATCTGAGAATTTAAAATAAAGTAGATCAATAAAAATTTTATGTTAATGAATAAGATTACAAAATTTTAAGAAACAATGAATTTACAAAATTTTAGGAGAAAAATAAATTATTAATAAAAAATATAAAATTATATTTAAAATTTTAAAATATTTAGAGAAAATTACCGCCTCTAACCATCCCTTACACAATTTATGCAGCAACGATACTTTATTTTCCATTGAAAACCGAGGATGTCACTCACATGTACAATTTGGGCAACCACAATATCTTATCAGCAGTTCAGGAATATGCGAACATGGCTTTGTTATATTTCATAATATGGTCGGTAAATGAAACCATCATAAATGGGACAATAAGGGACAATAAGGGACGATAAGGGTGATTGGGTTACAGGATATTCGATGAATTTAGGGAAACCATCATGCCTGTTAGCGGAATTTTGGGACTTGAAAAGGGGACTTACCGCAGCAAAAGCTCTGAATCCGAAGAATCTGATTGTTGAAATGGACTCGAGGGAAGCAATAGATGCCCTGCAAGAGGAAGAACCAGAAACCCCCCAAATCGGATCTATGATTGTCGAATGTAAAAATCTATTAAAAGAAATTGAGGTAAAGGAGATAAATCATATATTGAGAGAAAGTAATGGATGCGCTGATGGATTGGCTAAGCTATGGGATTGGTTGGTGTCATTTTCAGTTTTCAGTGACATAGACTTTGCCCAACTTCACTAACACAAAAACACATGCAATAACGTAAAGTAAGCCATGATTTCACAATTCTCTGTTACAAATTGTCCTCCCGTTCTAAGATATAACATTGATTAATTCGGATTGATTTATATTACATACCTGATTTTGATGAGTAAGTTTCACAGTGGAATTTTTTATATACACAAAAATTCGAACTTGAGATCTTATTACAAAATAATATAGGGTACATACATAAATATTCAATTTTTATATTTATTAAATTCATTGAGAGACTTAAGTGAAAAAATATCATTCTCTATAAGGTTAAATTCAAGCAGTTGCATCCGTAAAATAAATAGACTAAAAAAATTCTAGACAGTTACATTCTTATTATTACTTCAGATAATTAAAAAAAGAATTTTACATGATGTTAAATCATTTGAAATTATTAGCATTAGCAATAATTCATTTAAAATTATTAGTAATTAACTAATAAACTTTAATTATAATGACTGTACCCAACCATGTAAGATCCTTCCTTTTGTTCTATAAATTGGCTTCTCAATTCTCTAAAAATCCTCTTCCACTTTCACTCTCTTCCCCTCATAGAGTTGAGATTTTCTTGTGATATTTTCTTGTTTTCCATGTTTCTTATGTTTCTTTCATATCGTTTTGATATGCATCTTTGCCCTTAAACTGGGGGTTTTCGTAGTTAAACTTTGTATCTATACAAAATCTCTCTTGGTTTCATCATCATCATCTTCTTCTTGGTGTTGGAAATCTTGATGCTACATAAATAGTTGGCGTTTGAGATTTCATGTCTCCGGTTGTGAGTGAAATCCTCCGGTCGGGGTTTACGATAAATTCCTCGCTCAGACGCAGGACCCATCTTGTTCAATCTTTCTCAACCGTCTTCCTCCACTGGTTCTATGTTTTTCATAAATAAAAACTTCCTCTAATCGCTCGACTTCCAGTTCATATGCATATATAACACATAATAATAAAAATCAAATATATAAATCTCCCACATTAGCTAAAACATAATTAGTTTCTGGGTCCTGTCGTCTTTCTGGAAAAATAAAATAAAAGATCTTTGTGTAAATATATAACATCATGGCTTCCTCCAGTGGAAATTCCAATTCATCAGGGTCTGAAGAGGATTTGCATCGGCTGATGGATCAAAGAAAAAGAAAGAGAATGGAATCCAACAGAGAATCAGCGAGGAGATCAAGGATGAGAAAACAAAAGCGTTTAGATGATTTAATGGCTCAACTGATTCTGCTAAGGGAAGATAATTACCAAATCCTCACGAACATCAACTTCATCACCCATCAGTACTTGAGCATGGAGGCTGAGAACTCGGTTTTGAGAGCTCAGATCATAGAACTGAGTCAAAGACTGGATTCCCTGAATGGGATCCTTAATCATCTCAATAATCCCAGAATCAGCAATGGGGTTTATGAAAGTGAAGCTTTTGAAAGTTCCACCAATTTCATTCACCCTTTCAGTTTGGCTTATCTTAATCAACCAATTGTGGTCACTGCAGATGTATTCCAGTACTGATCCGCCATTACTAAATGGGTTTAAAGAAATCAGTTGAATTGGGAACTAGAAAGCAAGAGCTGCCTGCTAAATAATCATGGCTCTCTTTTGTTGTTGTAACTTGTAACTAATGGGATATATATATATATATATATAATATGGTGTCTTTACTTGTTTTTTGTCAGCTTCCTTCTGATCTTCATAATTTTTAGTGTCTGTCTTCTCTTTGTTGTTTGACAAATAACAATATATATATATATATATATATATATATATATTTCATCAAAAGTAATTGGTAATTACAATTGACAACTTTGAATCTCTCTGCTCGGCAGTCTTATTCTACATTCATCAAAATAATAAGTATACGCGAACGGCCATGTGTATTTTGTTTGGTTTGTTAGTAAGTTGAGTTGGTAATACAAACAAACAATATCTTATATTACTTATTTTTTATAATTAAACTAAAGTGATTATAAAATAGTATATATTTTAAATACTCTCAACTATTTGACAATGAATATTTAATCACTTATGCTGCAATTGTTATTATTTGAACTTGAAACCTCTAAGAACAACAATTATTGTTTTAATCACTGAAGTAATTTGATTTGTGCTTATTGATTTTGTCAATGTTTATATATGGTTTTTAAACTCATTAAAGAGACCCACTTGTTAAAAGAATTTTCTTTTTGAGATAAGATCCAACATGTGGTTAATTTCAATTTGCGTACTTTGTAATGCATATGCAATATGTTTCCCTTTTTGAATTGTAATTTATTTTTGAGTTAATTGCACTACATATCTTTAAACTATGATTTTTTTAAAATTGACCCTTAACCTTTTGAACATTTTGATTTCACCCTAAACTATGTCTCATTCTAAATTGATCTCATACTTTTGAACATTCTAATTCATCTCCAAACCTTGACCCTTATTCTAATTTTCTAATTTAGTCCTCAATTTTTTTAACATTCCAATAACGTCCCGACACTATCAACCAATGGAGATGAGAAAGCTTATTATTAGATCATATTCCAAGCAAGTGAGCATATGATTACCAAAATAATAGAATTATATTCCATTCATCAGGCCTCAAGGTTTTACTTTCATTAAGTCTTCGTGAATGACATAGTCACGCTCAGCACGAATTGCAAATATTGCTACCTCCGTACAAACATTTCGTAGATCAACACCATTAAACCCCAATGGTTACCAGAAAAATATATTAATGATGAGGATTACGGTCTCGGAACAGAAATATGCCACCTATGACTAATCTTAGAAAGCTTAGCAACCGCTTCATAGTTAATTTCACCTCCCTTGGCCATTTGAGCAGCGTGAATCTTGAGGATTTGCATTCTTGAGTTCTCATTTGGCAATGAAATCTCATCTTTTCGTCTAGCCGCCCAGGACCAAGGAGTGCAGGGTCAAGAATGTCGGGTCAGTTAGTAGCCATGACCACTTGAACCTACACGTAACAATGTAAGTTGTTAATGATTTTCAAAAGCATGTTTTGAAACTATGTGCATGACCAAAATAATGTACCTTTACAAGCTGATTAACTCCATCATTGTCCTCTGTACTTCACGGTCAATACCTGTCCCGTTGCTGAGACGGCATCCACAGATGGCATCAATCTCATCCATAAAGATGATGCACGGCTGTACAAAAAGAAACAAACATTAAAATAACATTGAAGGCTATAAAGAGACAAGACAGAAAACATTCACAACTCAAGGCTCTTACTTGGTGATCAAGTGCATATCTGAAAATTTCATTCATCAACCTTGCACCATCTCCAAGAAAGTTGCTGCCAGCCATTATACTCGAAGCAACCTGAACTTAGATGAGCGAGCATAAGGTAAAATGCATCCGTTCAAGGAAAGAACAATAAGCCAAAAAATAAACCACAAAGGTAGATTTCAACTATCAACATATATATAAGATACGGTCATATGACACGAACAAGACACAATGTGTCAAAATATATATGACATGAATTATCATTTATACCATATCAAAATTTGTATAAATATATAATACATTATGTAAGATAATGACCATGACATATGTAAATACATTAATACGACATGAATACACAGATTGTAAAGTCTGATCCTTAAGAAGTTAGCATCAACATTACATGCTATTGCTTTTGCTAACAATGTCTTACCAATACCAGGAGGGCCATAAAGGATAGCCTGCAATCACAGCCAAACATCACTCAGCCATAGCAACCATACACAAACACATCCTTTGAAAGGAAAGGAAAGTATAATCACCTTTGGAGGTTTACTTCACGATAATAACGCCGCGTGCTGTAAGCAAGTCGATTAACATGTCATCTAAAAATGTACCAAGGTATCAGGCCTCTGCAAAAACTTGGGTTTACATGATTAATGTAGCTGAAGTAATTTCCATGCAAATAACTTACTTCAGGTGGAAGAACCCGCCTGATTGTGACCGATGCTCTGTCAGCGGTCACTTTGGTTCCTGAAGTTAGCTTCTTCTTATCTACTTTGCTTCAGCGACCAACCACATAGCGTGAACTTTTGTTTAACTTAACAATAACTAAAACATCATACACACATTCAGGTAAATTCAAATACAACCCCTCAAACACCGCACTAAGCACTAGAACGCATGAACAAACCAAATGCGTAAGGAGCAAGTATAAAAATGTTAATCCACTTGGACTAATATGTTACTCCGCCTTTAATGACTTAACGAAACGATGACATGACAACTCTGTGCCGTTATGTTACTGACATAGATGTCTCACCAAAACGACGTTGTTATGATGAACTATTTTGATGTCTAAAAAATACTAAAATGACGTTTTTTTACATGAGGAGATTTAATAAAAATTTGAGTTTTGAGGGATTTGAACTTAACACCTTTCAAAAACAAAATCTAGATTAAATACTCAACTAATTTCATATTTTGGTTATATTTTTACAAATGTAATATACATATCATATAGTAGATATTATTTATAATTTATGTTTTAAAACTAAAGTAATATATATATATATATATATATTATTATAATACATTATAATATATATATAATATTTTTATATATGATTTATAATAAAAAAAATATTTTTTTTCCAAAAACACCTAAAAGTTTGAAAATTCTTAAATTCTCCCTAAACCCAAAGCCCTAAATACTAAATCAATGTTTTCACCCATTGTCACCGCCGAATCAACTGCCATTGCCCACCACTTTTGTCGCCAAACCCTTACCAGCAATTACCCCTCACCCGTCGTCAGAAATTGAAGAACAATGCGCTAATCAGTCGTCACAACACCGAACATGAAATGTTCAAGTCGATCCATAAACGACGATCAATCGACGAGCGAATGAGGAATGACATGCACGGTGAGAGAAGGAGACTTCGGTGCGGTGGCAATGACATGCTATCGACGACAATGGTTGGTGAATTTAGGGGTTACGATTCAAGGTTTATAGTTTATTTGGGATTTTAGGGTTTTTTTGGGGAATTTCGAGAATTTTGGGTTTTTTAGTATTTAAAGAATTTTAGGGTTTTTTTAAAGAAAATTAATATTATATCAACAAAATTACATTGTTTTAAGCTTTTTAGGCATCCACGTCAGCGACGTCACGATACAGAGTTACTATGTCATTGTCCCGTTAAGCCATTAATGGTGTAGAGGTATAATTGCACTTAAAAGTAAATGTTAGTACTAAAATTGGAAAAATTAAAAGACTAGTGATATAAATGAATCAACTCATAAAATTTGATGGTATATGACGTAGTTTACCCTATCATTTAATTTGAATTCCACTCTTAATCAAAATCCTAGGCTATGCCGATTGAATATTGAGAAAAAAAAGTATTTGAAAAAGAGAACAAAGAACATTTGTTTTTGAAATACTTATTTCATTAATGAACAGTCAACTCAAAAAACACAACTAATAAAATTTCATGTACGAATATCGATAAGAATTAATTATTGTAATAACGAATATACCATAGACTTTATAACATAGTGATGTACTGGTTTAATGATTCTTTGGAATAATACTATTACTATTTTAGTTTTGTCGTACTCTAATATCTATATTAACGCCATTGTTCAACATGGGCAAAATCGGTTTCGTTTTACTGGTACGTATGCCATTCAAATGTTAGTCTCATGACACAAATTTGGTCATGCATCGATAACTTGAATGGTGTATCGCACCTCCCTTGGCTTCTTGGGGTGATTTCAATGAAGTCCTTAATGAGTCGGAAAAGCATGGTGGCAGGAGAAAACCACAAACACAAATCGATGCGTTTAGAGATGTATTACAGCGTAATAATCTAATTGATCTAAAACCTTCTAAAGGGTAATTTAAGTGGATGTATGGTGCGAAAGATAAAGAACCAATCTTTGAACGATTGGACTGATTCGTTGCTTCCAAGCATTGGACTCAAGCTTTTCCCCATTTTCGAGTAACTTCTGAGAGTGCGGACACATCAGACCATTGTTATCTGACTTTGGACAAGAAATGACAGTCACATTCTAATACTTAACCTTTTTCTAATGATTGTTTTCAGTTTGATACTTGTTGAGCATACGAAACAAATTGTAAGGAACGGGTCCACTCAGCTTGGAAATATACAAATGGTAATGCACTAAATAAAATCGAGGCTATTGGTTATGCTTTGAAAGATTGGCAACATGATCGCATCAGGAACAATTCCGCTCGAATTAAGGATTTACGGAGACGGGTAGACTGGGGTCTACGATTGCAACTATCTAGTAGACGTTTAGGCCAATTTCGAAAAGCAAAGGATGAATTGCGAAAGTTGCTTGCATTGGAGGAGAAGTATTGGGAGCAACGGTCCGAGTGCGATGGTTAACACATGGTGATAGGAGTACAGGATTATTCCACATGAGAGCCACACAAAGGAAGAAGAAGAATAGTATTGTCGACCTGCACAATAGTGAGGGTTAATGGATGATGCAACCTAAGGATTTGAAGGATATAGCTCGCACATATTTTTAGGCACTTTTCACTTCGTCTGATCCACCTCTTAATAATAGTGTCATTGATGCGATTGAGCCAGTGGTAACGGAGGCTATGAATACAAAGTTGGGTCTTCTCTTCTCAAAA